ATCCTTTAGGGCAGTGTTTCTCAACCAGTGGTACGAGTACCCTCAGGGGTACTCGAGAGAAGTCTGGGGGGTATGTCAAGAAAACGGAATTTTTGTTTGTTTTACAGCGCTTTATAATTTTTGTACTTTACACCCAAACATTTCATCGCCCGCCCGGCTGCGATTAAATTGTGTAAACAATTGTGTTGCAAGTGTAGAAAAAAATGTGCATCTGAAAACTGTAGGTACTGGGGGTACTTGGTGCAGCTGAAACAACAAACAGGACAATGTAGCACTTTAAAGACTAACAAGATGGTTTAATAGGTGATGAGCTTTCGTGGGTCTTGTTAGTCTTTATAGTGCTACACAGTCCTGTTTTTTGTTTCAAGAAAATACCAAGCACTCAGAGAAGAGGGAACAAAGTGTAGACAAGGCGGAGGAAGAAACTGCAGATTTCTTACCCAGAACACCCATTGACTTTCAGTGGAAATGTTGTCCAGAGGGAGGAGAACAGGAAATGGCCCATTGAAATCAATTATTTATTAGATGATGAGCTTTCGTGGGCCAGACCCACTTCCTCCATTTCCTGTTTGATCTGAGGAAGTGGGGCTGGCCCACGAAAGCTCATCATTTTGTTAGTCTTTAAAGTGCTACATAGTCCTGTATTTTGTTTAATGAAAAATGTGAGTGATTTTGTGATCACATACTAAACACTTACACAGCAACAACGGTTTAATAGAAATTACCTTCTGGGATCGTTATGGCCCTCTGCTGCCTCTGATTGCTGCTGCTCCATTTACTCAGTGCGGGATGAGTGCAGGTCCGGCTTCTGCTGCTCTGGAGTTAGTGGGTGGTACTGTTCTCCCAGCCCTGCTGCCACCAGCCCATCCTCCTGCTGCGCAGCACTCTCCCAACCCTCTAACACGGTGATTCTCAAACTTTTTGGCCCATGATTCAGCTGGCTCAATGCAAACCTTTCCACGGACTACCATTTGCTAAAGAAACTTGCTGTTAATTACATAATTTCTCCCTAGCTATTTTACTAATGCTGCAGCTAGGGTGAATGGTTTAATTTAACCAGTAAGAAAGGAAATATTAATTTAAGTTATTAAACAGACTAAGTGCTTTAACTTTCTCATCTCAGTTTATTAGACTTCATTTTAATGAAAGTAAAACATTAATTTATGTCCAGCACAAAAGGTTCCTATGTTTTCTTTACTTATGGCAGGGTGGGGAACTTTTTTGGGTCAGGGGGCCACTGACCTACAGAAAAATCAATTGGGGACTACACAAGTGAGAAACAAAACAACCCTCCAAAACCCCCTAACCATCCCTGATGTGGCCCTCAACTGAGACACTTCACTTTTGGCACTAGAGTCACACAGAGCACTGAGGTTCAGGCCTTCCTATAGGCTGTATTTACTCTTCCTCTCTTCTTGGGTTCCAGGTTTAGTGGATATTATGGACACTCCGCGACCTGCTCTGGGGTTGGGACGAAAATAGGTTCAATGTGTGGGACAGGGCTGCCAGTGAGAGGAATGGGGTTGCAGGATCTGGGTGGGACCTGGGGTGCAGGTGCAAGCTCTAGAATGGGAGGAAGGGTTCAGAAGCAGGCTAGGAGTAGGGCAGTGGTCTCCAACCTTTCGTGGCTGCCGTGCGCCCGGGGGTGGGGTCCGTCCACGCATCCTGAGTTCAAGGCCAGTAACGCGCATGTGCCGTGCGCCCGGGGTAGGGGCCGCCCATGCACCACGCGCCCAGGGCCGGCACCACGCATGTGCCGCACGCCGGGGGCAGGGCCAGCCCAGATGTTTCGGCGAGTGAACATAAATGCCCCGGCGGGCGCCACGTTGGGGACCACTAAAGTAGGGTATTTGGCCACAGGGAGGGGACAAGAAAAAGGGAAGGTTCGCTGTGGGGCTAGGAGGGAGGGTTCAGGAATAGAATGGGGATAGGGTGTCTGGCTGGGGGGGGAGGGTGTAGGGTCTCAGCACGCGAGTGAACATAAATGCCCCGGCGGGCGCCACATTGGGGACCACTGAAGTAGGGTATTTGGCCACAGGGAGGGACAAGAAAAAGGGAAGGTTTGCTGTGGGGCTAGGAGGGAGGGTTCAGGAATAGAATGGGGATAGGGTGTCTGGCTGGGAGGGGGGTGTAGGGTCTCAGCAAGGTGTGTGAGGAGCTGGGGTGCGGAGGTCTGGACATGAAGATGTGGGGGGCACCTACTTGTCAAGGCACCACTTCCTGCTGCTTCCATTGGCCAGATTCCATTGGAGTACTGGCTCCCCCACTCCCTTGGGAGAAGCCGGCACTAGTGATCCAACTGTGTGGGGGTGGGGAGGGAGGCAAACTGGGAGGGCTCCTCACTGAGGGGAGTTGAGCTTAAGCCACGGACCATCAGGAAGGTGGCCACGGAGCCCCCTCATGCTCACTTGGGGGACCTCTGTGTACAGACCTGGATTTTGCTATACTGAGTTTGGCCATCCCTCATCTATGCCCTACAACACCTAGACACCCAGGAGAGGCTTCAGTTTCCCTTTGAAATTTGCAGTAGACTGCAGAGGGGGTTGCTAACATAGCTTACTGGATCCGTGGCTGCCCTGTGAAACTTATTTATTTGTTTAGATTTTCTAAAATCGCCTTTTTCTGGTTTGAGGCCTATGTGCACATCTGTTTAAAATGATAGATTAGGAGAAAAATACAACTGTTCTTTAACCATTGTTTACTTCTGGATACTTAATTAACTCTTATGTGCTTAGCTGTTCAGTTCTACAATAGGACAATTGTTGCCCATGATCCCTGTCTTGTGATGGAGCAGGGATGTGTTTATCATCACTGGTGTACACCTAAAAATCATCACTTTGAATTGGCACTAGTTAAACCACTGTAAACCAGCCTTAATCTAAACACCTGGAGCTCTTGTGAAGCACTGGGTCAACAGAATGCTTGTAACAGTTAACAAATGTTCAAGAACTAGTACAGTAGTTATTCGAGTATCAGTTGCTGCAGGGTTTTGTTTATACCAGGATACTCAGAGCAAATTATAACCCCCCAGGTTCTAGTCCTGTCATAGTTGCAAATTTGTTGTGGCCTTCAGCAAGTCATTTTACCTTTCTGTGCTTTGGTTAACTCACTTTTTAAAAAAGTGATATTTTTGTGCCTCACTGATGTGTAATAATGTATTAAAAAGTGTATGTTAAAGTACTTTTGAGATGCTGGAATAAAAAATAGTATATAAATGTAAAATATAGTGAGTATGAAGAGTAGTAGTCAGGGAAATCATCTTCGCCCTCCCCTAAACTAAGTGCTTTCTGGCTTTGCATGTCCATTCAGTTCTGGTGGTGAAGTTATTACCTATACATGGATTAATGAGAAATTCAAACTGTGTTTTATTGAATAGGAAATTTTATGAAGCTTATGGGAATGGTCCAAAAGCCTTTGAACTGTCACAATTAAACTTTAAATCCACCTGCCAAAGGTAAGATGCATGCTAGAATTAATCTAGAATTAGCTCTTTCATCTGCTTAATTGATGGAATAAGAATGTTTTGTTGCTTCTGTTTGCTAGGGATGTTAACTGATAAGCATACTGGTATACATAAAGCTTACCGGTATGCTTACTGGTTAGCCAGCCCTTGCCAGTGAACTCTCGCAGTGGCCAGATGCACCAGGCCAGAGCAACCCCAACTGTTGTAGGACAGGCTGTGGTGGGGCTGGGCAGGGAGACCAAAGTCAAAATTGCTAAGCAGTTGAACATTTTAACATTGCTACTATTTGCACCCCTGGACCCCTTGCTCCATTCATCTGAAGAAGTGGGTTTTGCCCACAAAAGCTCATAATGTTAGTCTCTTAAGGTGCTACAGGACCATTTGTTGTTCAAGTTTTTACTATTTGCTTATGTAACAAATGTCTTAAATTCTAGGTTTGTTGAGAAATTTATTGAACTGGATAAAGAAGGAAAAACTGAGCCAGAAAAATTGTTTGAAGAAACAGGAAATCAGCTTTTAGCAGAGGGGATCATTCTACGAAGAAAAGGAACAGCAAATGTATGCATTATTTAAAAAATACTTGTGTGGCTGGCAAATTGGTACAGAACAACTTTTTAGGTCACTAGTTTATGTGCATCTCAGGCCAGTAGTGACAAGACTTTACTATTTTATGCCATCTGGGAGCCTGTGTAAATTGGCAGGAATTGGGCACTCTTTTTGAAAGTTTCAGCAGAATTGAAAAGTCAAGATTTGAGTTAGGCATGGAGAATTAACTCCCCTCTCTGCCATAGAATTGGTCATACCATGTCATGAGTGAGGTACGTTTTTGGAACAGTGACAGAAACTTGCACTTCAGTTGAATGGAGGATTTCAATTTCCAAGTTTCTGAAGCCAGCACCTTTTTACAAACAGTGCCTTTAACGAACAGTAAGGGTTACTTTCCCTTTGATGTATACATTAACATACTAATACATTTCAGGGGAAAATGTTTTTACTACTCTTAATTTATTATAAAAAAAAAAAATTCTCCTACCATTCCACAGTAGTTTAAAGAGAACACATTAATTATAGTGTAGATTTAATTTTAAAGGTAATCCTAATGTATCACTTCCTATTACATTAAGTGCTTGTGGTGCTTGTAAAAGGTAGCAGTGTTGAAATAAGTATTTGTCATACAGTTCTTAGAAAATAAACGAGAGGCCTTCATAAGAATGTATATGTTAACAATGTACATATAGACTACATCCTACACTACATGGCTGTGATATAATTATGACTGGTAAACTGAGAACCAGCATTGTTTTTCCTCAGCAAAAGTTTGAGCAGGGAGAAGGATGTGGTTCAAGTTAGAGCAAAGAAGGGGAAAAAATTTGCTGGGTGGGGGGGAAAAAATTGGAAAGAGGAGAAATTAGTTTTAGTTGTGCTATTTCTCTCTCTCTCAAAAAAATAAAATAAAAATCAGGCTTTCCCAGAGCCCAGAAAGTTGGCAACTAGGGATTTTAAAATGTGTTCAGTTAAACCCATCTCCCCCCTAACACTGGCTCCCATGGGACTGCCTCCAGTACGGAGGCAGCAGCACTGGGCCCCCTAACACTGGCTCCCATGGGACTGCCTCCACTGGGGAAGGAGGGTTTGTGTATCCATGCACCTTTAACCACGTAATGTAAACAGTTACACTTTCACAGCCCTAGTGGCAACGCTTTCTAACTACATTTTCTGCTTCTCACATTTAGTATCTCGAGTCTCCGTATATCTTTGCTTATGAAGATGATAGTAAATGATAGCTTTGACACTTTATTTCTTCAAGCGTCTATGCATTGGGCTCTTCTGGGGCACACGGGGGGGACCACAGAGTTTGCTTCTACTTTTCATTTAATTTAAAGGCAGGAACCTTTTTTGGGTCAGTGACTGCACACAAATGAGAAACAAAATTAAAAAAAAGCAACCCATCACTGGATCAGTCCCTGACTGATTTGTGAAATATACTCCCCAAATTCTCCCTCACACCAAAGCCTAGGGGCTCTGTAGATTTTGGCTCCTAGAGCCTAGTAGATTTTGTGTGCTCCAGCCCCATAGGGTTGGGGGGAGACCTCAGGGGTTAGATCCAGACAAGCCTGGGGGCCCCATCTGGCCCTTGGGCCTGAGGTTCCTCACCCCAATTTAATCCATTGAGGGGGCGAGACAGAGCTCTTCATAGCTGCAATTTATGGTGATCATCTTCCTGTAAACTGTAGGTAGCACAACAGACTCTTCAAAAGACCAAAACCAGTGATCTTGGGTTAGAAATGAATCTTCAAACCATGTTCGAGGCAAAAGAGAGGCAGCAACGGAAGCAAGACCAGGAGGAGGAGCATCTTGAATCAGCTGACGTGCAGAAGGAAAATCCTTTGTCCTAAGAGTTCTACGTTTCTCAGCTCTATTGTCTTGGCTTGTGTTGTAACATAATGTTACATGTTTATGGCCTCGGAACTGTTGAATGCCAGTGGTCCAAACTCTATAAACCCTTTCATGACAAGATATTTACCCATGGGAGACGTGATCTAGTCCAGCAGCGATGCCTTCTGTAACCCTGTGCAAGGCACTTAACGCTTCTGCCTCAATTTCTCCATTTGTTAAATGGCAATAATTTTTTGTTACAAAGGTCCTGAGATTTATTTTCATGAATTGTGTTTTGTGATGAAAAAATGCATGAGAGATAATGAAACAATTAGCAATTTTAATTAACGTTTAATTAAACTTTAAGTGTGTCATTTCTTTGTGATGGGGCTTATCTTCTCTCACAAGATAGGGTGAATGGTTTTGTGATTTGACTCATCATTATTAAATAAAAATTCTTGGCTTACTATAGAAATGGTGTATGCTATATAGCATCACCTGCTGTAATACCTGCATGAAACAGTGACTTTGGATTTTCATCTTTGAACTTTTAGTAGAGCCTACTTTTTAACTCTATAAATTAAACAGGGCCCCTGTTAGTCTTCTAGTTACATTCTCTTTTCACTACTTTCTATATTCATAAACCATAACACTACCCATAAATGTAATCTTGCAATGGTTTCTAGCTGTAACTCTGTAAGGTTGTAGGTGACCTTCTCTGAAGTGAAAGAGCAAGATTACACAGAATTAGGCTACATCTAGACTATAGGCTTCTTGCACAAGAAGCCTTTTCTGGAAGAGATTTTCCAAAAAAATCTTAATTGCACAAGAGAGCATTCACACTGCGAAAGTGCATCGAAAAACTATGCACCTTTTTTTTTTTTTTTTGAAAGATAGCGTCCACCCTCCTTGGGCACGCGCTCTCATGTAAGCAGGGATTGCTATGGACAGAATGACTACCAGGGCACCTGTGTTTTTTCCTCTTCCCTCTTCTTCCAAAAAACCTCCCTCTTCCCCATCCACACATGCCCTTTTGTGAAAGAGCTCTTTTACAAATGGCTTCTCCCTCATAGAATGAGGATTACTAATTGCACAAAAAGCCCCTCTGTTCTGTCAAAAGAATGCACTTGCAGTGTGGACATTCCTCTAGTTTTGTCAGAAAAACAGCCTTTTTCTGATAAAACTCTGTAGTCAAAGAGTCAAGTGCTTTTAGTGAAATATTCTGGGGGTAGAGAATTATCTTTGGGGGTGGGAGCTGGGGAACACAACTAGCGAGTAATACTGAAAATTAACAAGTCAGCTAACAATTGTACTCAGAAAAGGATCAGTCTTTGTTAATGTCCACTGCTTATAATTGGGAATTTTGGGTTTAAACCAAAATCAATTACTCAAAGACCTATCCTATGTAGTTCAACAATCTATTTTTAAAAAACAGGAATAGGAATAGTACTAGTATAATTGACTTTCCTATTCCTTTTTATGTAGACTGTTGTAAAACTAGGCAAACATCTAGATGAACTGATGTACCCCCAAGAAAACCTGTATTTTGGGGTACATGTACCCACCGCCACTTGAGATCCACTGGTCTAGACAATACTTAGTCCTGCCATGAATACAAGGGACTGGACTAAATGACCTTTCCATGTCTCTTCCAATCCTATGATCAACCCAGGACCTTCTCAGCTGTTTACTGAGAGATGGACCGGCAGTTCTTCATTTCTGCAATGCAGTGTTTTCTCCACTATCCTGGCCTGGATGCTCATTGTCAAGGTGTTTATGGAGGCATTTTATTTGGAGCATTCTCCCATTTGCATTTATTACTGTGGAAGATGTTCATAACCTGTAAATAATTAGATGCAGTTTCCAAATGAAAACAAATTAGTGTGAAAGGAAAGGCGTCATGATGTGAAATTATATATAACTACTAATGTGTTAGAGACTAAACAGACCATGTAATCTATCAGTTACTTCTGTAACAAATTGCTAAGCTTAGAAATAAGAGGAAGGCTTTTTCTTTCCTAACTGTTGCTCTAGCAAGGTCCAGCCATTTATCTAATCAAGCTTTGCTCTGTTCCATCCCTCTCCTAAACCATCAGGAGCAATAAAGATACCCAATTGCAAATTCAGGGCTAGATTACAACCTCTCAATGTGCCCTGAGTAGCTATACAGGCAGTCCCCGGGGTTACATGGATTTGACTTACATCAGATCCCTACTTACAAATGGGGTGAGGCAACCCCGCACTAGCGGTTCCCCCCAGCAGACCAGGGAGACGTGAAGCTAGCGCTCCCCTCCCCCTCCCAGCAGACCAGGGAGACGCAGAGCGGCTTTTCTCAGCAGACACCACAGCTTGACAATAAAGAACTGAGGGAAGTGAGGTGTGGGAGAATAAAACTGAGCTCTGGAGAAATGTTTGGCTAGAGTATCCCCTACAATATGTACCAGTTCCGACTTGCATACAAATTCAACTTAAGAACAAACCTACAGTCCCTATCTTGTACGTAACCCGGGGACTGCCTGTACTGCCCCAGGAGAATAGAAGCAATGAAGACCCAGGGTGCATCTACACAGCAGAGCTTAACTCAAAAAACAATGCAAATCGAGCTACGTCAATTGTGCAGCTTATTTCGAAATAGAGCACTCTTCCTCTGACTTCCCTTACTCCTCGGACAATGAGGATTACAGGAGTCAAAGTAAGAAGTCCCCCAGCTTGACAGTATTTTGACATTATTTTGAAATAACTGCCTATTGAGTAGATGCTGCTTAAATTATTTCGCATAATGTGGCTGTGTAGACGTACCCTCAGAGTCAAACATGTTCACCCACTTCTCTGGGGGAGAGGAAACCTTATCTTAGACCATTTTGTGGAGCAGTGTATTCTTCAGCCGTCTATGAATTGAGGGAAGCCAAAGTCTCTTATTTCCTTCTCCCTCTGCCTCACCCTCCCCACTTGCCCAAAGTAGTGAATAGCAGGTAAGTAGCCCTGTCTCTCTTCCCCATGGCTGGAGTCTCAGTCTGAGGAGGAGGCTGAATGAGGCATTGCTTCCCTCTTCTCTCCTGGCTGTAACTTTCTAGCCCCCTACCCATCAGTTTTGATATCTACTCATAAGAAAGGCTCTATTACAACTTGTTCTTCTGTACCGGAGCTGCATTAGATTAGGAGCACTGCATGTAGTCCCAACTTGATTTGTAACTAAACTGCTCTGACTTGGAAGATAAAAAGGAGATTTGTATCACTGTCATTTGGCTGTCAGCTCTGTGACATTTGACACTGTGCCATATTCCAATATGTAGCCACAGGTCTGCAGCTGTATAATTCATTGGAGTGCATGTGTGCTATTATTCTGAAGTGGGTAATGTGGCCCAATTAACTGGAAAGATTAGAAATGTATAAGTGAGTGCACATGTTAAATGAGCTGGCAGGGGTCAGGTCTCCCTGGTGATGAGGGAGGTAGTTGGCCCTCGCTCGGCTTAGAGGGGGGAAATTGCTTTCAGTAGCGTTTAGTGTAGAAATAGCCTTTGGAATCCACAGCAGTTTGTTGGCTGACCTCAATATTGAGGGAGCTTCCAGCTGAGTAGCTCTCGACAGACAAGCAGTTGGGGTTACTGCACTGGGGATTTGTTTGAGCTGATAGGTAATGGGGTTCGTCCGTCAGTAAAAGACACAAAGTTAAGTATTTTGCACAATCAAGAGAAAATGCTTTCGTGAACAGAGTTCCATTTTTATACTTAACACTTGATGGATGCATTTGTTGTGCTTAGACACAAATGTCAGTCACTGTGACCTTAGAGAAGCTCAACTCTTTTAATTAAAAGGTTCTAAACGAAAGCCTGGGGTGAGCTATTTATTATTTATCAAGCATTTACCTTCCAGCAGTTAGCAAAAGGTCAGTAGCTTCCTCCAAAGCTTTGGGTTTTTGTTAGGCTCTTAGATGAAAAAAGATATGCAATCAATCATGCCTGCTTTGGGCATGTGTGGATGCAGGTCACTACTAATAATTATTCTGGCTTTTAGGACTTTGTACTACCAACACAGGCAGTGAGCGTGTGTCCCTCATTGAGGTACATTTCCAGAAAAACAAACACCGGCTTGTGATTATAGTTAGTAATGAGATATTGATTGTTTGCAAATGTTGCTGTGGAAAGCTGGGTTGACATCTATCATGTTCTCTTGGCTTTTAACCGCTAGGTGGAGCTGAAGCATTTTCTCTTTTTCCAGGGGGGTAGGGTTATGTCAGCTTTCTTTATTACCACTGCAAGTTTTGAGAGAATCTGTGAGAGTTCACAGTGGAAGTTTCTGAGAATCAAGGCATATAAAGGAGTGAAATCCTCATAAGCACATCCATTTTTTTTTACTGCATAGCAGACAGTTGTGTGAAGAGGAGGAAAACTAATTTTTTTGTACTTCTGTTAGCGCATACGTGTAACAATGACTATGTCCTCTCTCATATCTCACTTCTTCATGTATTTTCATTTTATTTCTCATTGCCTGAGAACCTTAATAAATGTGTATAACGTAATTTCAGATACACAGATGAAAATTGCTGTTCATGTGCATCGTACTAGTATTAACATTGGCCCTGCCTTTTTACGTCTGTTACTGCAGTCTGATACTAGCACCGCAAAAAGAGAAAACATCCATCAAAACCATTTAAAGACCCACCATATTCCCTAGGATCTGGTGTCTGTAGGGATATTTAGTGGCTGTAATCAGAACTGGGGATGAAGTAATGATAGAGGTTTTTCTAACTAAATTTGGACATAAGGAACTAAACTGCGTTGTCTGATCCACTTAATCTACTGCCTAACAACTGTGAGGCTCTGAGAAAGGTCGCTCCTGGTTTTGTGTAAAAGGAGCAGATGTGACCTTGTTATTTGCCCTTCCCAGGACAAAATCATGCGTTCAAATAATTTCCTTATGCATGGCAAACCTGGCTTCCGGTATTGTAACACTCATTAATGACAGGAGCCAGGCTTTGGCTGCTTCGGAATCCATTATATAGCAGCCATCTGACCTTTGCTGGGCTAAATTGCTGACCTCTTTCTTCCTGAAAGCCAAGCAAAGAGAGTTCATGTAGCAGCCCCTCTGTCTGCCAAGCTCCATCATAGCTGCTGAGCTATTTTGAGTAACAGCACATGCCAATGTGTTGATTATTAGGCTCTTCGCTTCTAAAGGCATCCAGAAATCCTACTTCCAGGCATTAGGAACAGAGGATGTTCTTCCTCTCTGACAATAGGGTTCCAGCTTTCTCTAGTTGGGTACCCAAAGTCACTGGCCATGCTTGAAATTTTTGGCCCGAGGGACTTACCCAAGGTCACACAGGAAGTCATTAGCAGAGCCTGGATTAGAGCGTACAAATCTAAACTCCCAACCTCTCCTGTTTTAATGACTTGAACACATGCTCCCCAGAATAGACACAACTGCCAGTTTGCTATAAAGGTATTCGCAATAAGGTAAGTGATGCAAATATGGTGTAGATCTAGCACTATGCCTGGAAAGGAGATTTCTGTATGTCTACAC